CACACGAGGCAAAGAGGGGAGGAACCGTGTGTGTATGAGCAGGTAGGTAGATACGGTAGGGTACCCTTGCACAAGTACAATGCGTGCTTTGACCGAGAAACACAACGGGAATGGAGTTCGGATGACACCCACCGCGCTTAGCAAGATGGCACACCCCGCATTTCCGATCTGTAACCTGGACTCAGCCGAGTTGTCGTGTCGTGGAGGGAGAGGTGCAAACCGGGATATCGGACGCTCCCTCCGCTAAGAGACCTTTTACTAGGTACAACGTCATCGGCCAGCCCACGTGACGCGTCAAGTTCCGGCCATAAATCTAGCTGCGACAACGCATCCTTGTGTAACCCCCCCCCCTCTCAGCCCCGCGCTTAGTGCCGCGGGAGTGTATATTCTACGGTGTAAATTTTTTTTTAAAGAAAAACTCTCATTTCTCATTTTTCTTTTTAGAGCTTTTTTTTTAAAAAAGAAAAAGAAAAAGAGGCCATGTACCTAGGTACTACTACCGCGCCAGCAAGCCGGTGGGCGCTCGCGCGACGTTCCCGGCTCGAGACGGACCCGCCCTCTATTCTGTCTACAGCAATGCGTTCACGTTTCCGGACTGAAAGCCCTGAACACGTCCTGACAACTGAAAAAAAAAACAAGAGAGAGAGAGACGTCGAATATATGCGGTGCAGCGTATCGCATTCTCCTGGTACAGTACACGTGTGCAGGGCTACCTCCCCGTCTTCAGTCTATCACGACTCCGTGCTAGCTATGCTATTGTTCCCCCCCCCCCCCCCCCCCCCCCCCCCCCCCCCCCCCCCCCCCCCCCCCCCCCCCCCCCCCCCCCCCCCCCCCCCCCCCCCCCCCCCCCCCCCCCCCCCCCCCCCCCCCCCCCCCCCCCCCCCCCCCCCCCCCCCCCCCCCCCCCCCCCCCCCCCCCCCCCCCCCCCCCCCCCCCCCCCCCCCCCCCCCCCCCCCCCCCCCCCCCCCCCCCCCCCCCCCCCCCCCCCCCCCCCCCCCCCCCCCCCCCCCCCCCCCCCCCCCCCCCCCCCCCCCCCCCCCCCCCCCCCCCCCCCCCCCCCCCCCCCCCCCCCCCCCCCCCCCCCCCCCCCCCCCCCCCCCCCCCCCCCCCCCCCCCCCCCCCTCTATTCCTCCTCACCTAAATCCTTCTGTATTCCACCCTCTTTCTATCTATTAGGGAGTAAACCGGGCAAGCAAATAGCGGCAGGCGGCAGACGGCGTGTCGTGGCTCGGCGGCGAGTCTTTAGGACTGCGAGCTCGGATGCATCCGATTACAAGGTCTCCATCTTGTCCAGGATCGCGCGGGTGAACGAGTGTGTGCTGGCCTCGCCACCCATGTCGCGCGTGCGGTACTTTCTGTCGCGCCGTTAGCTCGGATCGCCCCGTTTGAAAATAGCCCAGAGAGACGAAAGGCTCACCCTTCGGCAATTACGCCGTAGACGGCCTTGGAGATGCGGTTGGCGTGGTCGTCCAGGCCGAGGTGGCGGAGCAGCATCGACCCGGACAGCAGGAGAGCGGTAGGGTTGGCCTGATCCTTCCCCTTGATGTCGAGGCCGACGTGCCGGCAGCCGGGCTCGAAGACGGCAACCTCGCGGCCCATGTTGCAGCCGGGCACGATGCCGGGGCCGCCGACCAGGGCGGCGCCGATGTTGGACAGGATGCCGCCGTAGAGGTTGGGCATGACCATGACGTCGAATTGCTGGGGCCGCGACACGCACTGCATGCTGGCGTTGTCCACGATCATGTCGTTGGTCTCCAGCGTCGGATACTCGGCGGCCGTCTTGTGGAAGGTGCTACGGAACAGGCCGTCGGCCAGCTTCATGATGTTGGCCTTGTGGATGCACGTTACCTTCTTCCGGTTGTTAGCCAGCGCGAACGAGAAAGCGAACTTGGCGATGCGCTCCGACTTGGCGCGGGTGATGATCTTGAGCGACTCGACGACGCCCGGCACGCTCTGGTGCTCGAGACCGCTGTACTCGCCCTCGGTGTTTTCTCGGATGATGCAGAGATCAACGTCCTTGTGGCGCGTGTTGTAGCCGGGGATGTTCTTGATGAGGGAGATGGAGGCGTAGATGTCGAGCTCTTGGCGCATGGCCACGTTGAAGCTCTGGTGCCCCGACCTGCTGATGGGGGTGTGTAGGATACCCTTCAGCCCCAGCTTGTTCCTCTTCAGGGAGGCGACCGATTCGCGGAACATCTCCTCGAGGCTGCCGGGGGCGCCGCTCTCGACGCCAGAAACGTCCACCTGCTCCCAAGTGATGGGCACGCTGTCGGCCTTGAAGATAGTCTTGACGCTCTCGGCCACCTCGGCGCCGATGCCGTCGCCGGGGATGAGGGTGACGGTGTACTTGCCGCCATACTTGGTCGGCTGGAAGATATCGGACTGGACGGTCGCGAAAGATCGGGAGGCGTTCTGGAAGTGGGATTGTTGGCGAGTAGCCGTCCGCGCCAGGCGCTGCAAACCACAATACAACGAAGATGGTTAGCCAACCAAAAACCCCCCCGACTTCTCGGAGGACATATGAAGAAAAAGATAAGAAACCAGCCACAATGCCTCCTCCCCCCGGTCATAGCCGACGAATTGCCGACATGGTGGGAAGACGTACCTGGGCAGATCTAGCAGCGTTTCGCGACAGCATGGTTAGAAAAAGCAGGCATGTGCTGCGTGAAGAGGGAGAGAAGGGGGGAGAGGAACGGGGGATTTACAGGAGTGAGAAGGGCGACGGGTGATAAGAGAGGCTTGAGGGAGGAAATTGGCAGCGATTGATGCAGAGGACTGCAAATGGCGCAGAGACGAAAAAAGCTTTGGAGGGTTGGAGGGTCCTCGGTTTGGCAGCCGTGGCATTCCGATCACCCGGTTCATCGTGTAGGTACGTACTTAGGGTAAGTACCTCTACCTATATGAGAGTGGGAGGAAGGAAAAGACCACCTGGAATCTACGCTTTCCGAAGCCAAGCACTGCGCTAGACCTCTATATGGCTTAGCGTAATCTCGGGTTTCTACACGTAATCCCGGTTGGGGAAGGTGTGGCGGGTGCAGGTACACCTACCTACGTCGATAGGTACCTAGATCTTTCGGCATCGCCAATACATTGGGCATGTACCCGCTTCTGCATATCCAAGTATCGACTTTGAGTGGGTAGCAGGCAAAGGAGGTTGTAAGGAGGTATGTGAAGTTCCATCTTATCTTATCTTCTGAAGACCCTAGGATTAGGTAGGTAGGTATACACGTTTTAGGTACAACGTCTGATGGATGTCACGTGAAATATTCCACGTGATGGGCGGTATCCCGCAACATTCTGCTGACGTACATACTCATACAGGCGAAGTACTATGCCGTACGGAGGTCAGGGCCAGACCCATGTATTGGGAGAAGTGCGATATCTAACCTGCTTAGGTACCTAAATAGACAGGCACCGGGATCCTCGAGGTTACCTACGTTGATTGAGGGGCAGTTTACAGGCATTTGGGAGTTACCCTTGCCGAAGCCCTTCAGACACTTTATATGGGTACCTGAGGCACCTACGTGCTTGAGGGGTCTGAGATGCCCGTGTTACCGTAGGCAAGAGGTAGGTACCTAGGTACTTCTACAACGATGAGCGGTTCCCATAAAGGCTCTGCCTACACGCCCATGATCTTCGTGAGTACGCCTTTCCTCCCTATCGCCGTCACCTCCCCCCCCCCTCTTCTTTGGGATGCCCAGGTATTCGCGTGGCGTATTGCTTACCTGTATCTATGCTCTTCTTGCGGGACGCTGTCACATCCACTTCTCGGTTGCTCGTTGGCGTCTCGAGGGCTTCCTGCTTGCTTCCGCTCAGCACGGCTCTTCCTGCGCGCATACGCCTCTCCGCTGAGCCTCACCTGTGGACGGTAGAGAGGCCGTAGGAGGGAGGCCAGAGACTGGAAGCGAAGCAATCCTCCTGTCCCAATTCGAGGTCCTTGGGCCGCTCCCAGTCGCAGATGCGGCGAGCGCACCGCCGGAACCCTGGATCTCGATGTTCTCACCCCCGATTCATGCCACCGTATCCGTCGGTTTAGGTATACGAGATGCGGCATATTGGCCGCGGGGGCACACGCTAGATTATCAGAGGCTTGCAGCGTTGTCCGATCCATCTTATGCCACGAGGTTGTGGCGCGCCGAGGACAACCTCAAGTCATCTTCCCAGCCCTGCCTACCCGGATAGTACTGCTTGGTAGGTATGCCGTTGGGTTATCCCATGCTCGCTTAAGTGTGAGTGTGACGGAGGAAAGCAAAACTTGCACGCTTTAGGATCCTTTCTTCCACCAACGGACACACAAGATCCTAGATCGACAGCTCGTAAGCATGGCCCCCCCTTCCCCAAAAGTCGACAGATCGTCGGGAATAACCCCAGCGGCGGGAGCAATGCAGAAACGAAAAGGAGAAATGGGAGTCGAAGACGAGGAAATCCCACCGAGGAATCAAATAAAAAGAAACATTCCACATGCGTACCCAGAACATCCAAAGGGGGGGGAAGCGAGAGAGGACGATGGAATAATATCCTGCCAACCTACCTACAGGAAGTATCCAACTCGGTTCGATCCGGATCGATAGTCGCAAATCTTGGCTCATCTTGTCCATCCACCCCATTTTCATTCCCGTCCTCTTCAGCCGTAACAACCCCCGCCACGGCCCCACTCTTCATTGCCGTGTTGACATCCCGTCGTCCAGTTGTCCAGGCCATCCCTCCGCCCAACGCGCGACGTGAAGCAATAACGACAGGCGGACTGGGAGACAGACAGGCAGAGGGTGTGTGTGTCTCTGTGTACGCGCCCGTCACATCGCCCGTGGGAGCTATCGCCGTCTCATCCAACCCAATCCGATCCTCGTCAACCCCCCCCTCCTCCTCCTCCTCTCTCCCCACCGGTGTTTTTTATCCCTTTCCTGCGTATGGCTAGCTGGCTAGCCCACCTTTTCATCCTACTGTCGCCCGTTACATAGGTAAGTAATGGGCTGTTCCCTGCGCCCTTGTACACTTCTACCTATGGGTGTGTGGCCCTGGCCATCCGGTTCCGCTTCCCTGGGCGGTGCCGGGCCTTTCAAATCCGGCAGCAATCTCCGTTGAGGACCTCCTTAACGCTCTGCGCCTTCGAGATAGCCCTTGATGATACCCGGAAACTCTCGTTAACATGGTACGATACACATCCCGACACTTGTGCCGTTGAATGCTAGTGTAGTCTTACGCCCTATCGTTATACCTCTGCCTTGGACCTCCTCCTCCATGTCATCCGACCAGGCTGGAGTGCTATCCCGTGATCGAGTATATATAGACAGGCGTCCGGCCCCTACTTTGGCTGCTCAGAGCCCAGCTGCCCCACTGACTGTCGTCCTACCCGAGGCCTGACCCGCGGCAACTTCAAATCAGCCAAAATGTCCAGCCCGTCCAACTACGATATCGGTTAGGGCCCTGACGCTTGCTATAGTGTATCGCCGTCGCTGATTTGGGTATAGTGATCATTGGAGCTGGCCCTGTCGGACTTATGCTGTCGACATGCCTGGCAAGATGGGGCTATAAGATTAAGCATATCGACAACCGGGCAGAACCGACGCCCACGGGGCGTGCCGACGGCATTCAGCCTCGGTCTCTGGACCTGCTCCGCAACATGGGCCTGAAGTCGGCCATCATGGCGCACAAGCCCGCGAGAGTCTACGAGGTCGCCTTCTGGGACCCTGCCAAGGACGGCAACGGTCTCGTCAGGACCGGCACTTGGGCCAGCTGCCCGAGCTTCATCGATGCGAGATATCCATTCACCACACTCGTCCATCAGGGGAAAATAGAGCGGGTGTTTATCTCAGACCTGGAAAAGAACGGCCTGCAGATCCAGCGGCCGTGGACAATAAAGGGATTTAAGGCAGACGAGGGGCTGGACCCCAATTATCCCGTCGAGGTTCATCTCGAGCATGTCGACGGTGGCCAACGCGAATCAGTTAGAGCCAAGTATCTCTTTAGCGGCGAAGGTGCCAAATCTTTTGTCAGAGAGCAGCTGGGCATCACGATCACGCATAAAGATCCCATCTCGCACGTATGGGGCGTTATCGACGGCGTCGTGCGGACTGACTTCCCAGACATCAAGGTCAGTCTCCGCGCATACACAGCTTCGGCTACCGTGGACTTCGGACTCACAGGAGACAGATGAAATGTACGATCCACTCCAGGCACGGCTCGATCATGGTGATCCCGCGAGAGGATAACATGGTCCGGCTATACATTCAGATCGCATCGTCCACCGACCCGGATTTCAGTCCGCGCAAGACAGCCACTGCAGAAGAAGTTCAAGCGTCCGCCAAGAAGATCCTCTCTCCGTACTCAATCGAGTGGGAGGGCGTGGAATGGTACTCGGTATACCCAATCGGCCAGGGCATCTCATCTAAATACACCCTCGACCACCGGGTATTCCTGGGTGGCGATGCGTGCCATACCCATAGCGTAAGCCATCGGCTCCCGCTCCCCCGGAGGACGAATGGCGACTAACCCCTGAGCTAGCCGAAAGCTGGTCAAGGTATGAACGCAGCATTTTTGGACGCCTTGAACCTCGCGTGGAAGATACACGCGGTCGAGGCCGGCCTCGCCGACCGAGCCCTGCTGACGACGTACGAGACCGAACGCAAGGATGTTGCTGAGAGCCTGTTATCTTTCGACAACAAGTATGCGAAGCTATTCTCGGAACGTCCGCCGGCCGCCACCGAAGTCCAAGCGGCGTCGGAGCAGGCGAGCTCCGCGAGCGAGGACAACGAGTTCGTCAAGACTTTTAAGGAGTCGTGCGAGTTTACCAGCGGCTACGGCGTGGCATACAAACCCAACGCATTAAATTGGTCGCCGGTGCACCCGGCACGATCCCGGCTCATCCACCCCGAGGGAACCAAGCTGCGGACCGGACGACTCATGGCCAACGCCGACGTCACGCGGGTGATAGACGCCAACGTCGTGCACCTGGAGCAGGGGGTCCCCCTCAACGGCTCGTTCCGGATCTATGTTTTCGCCGGAAACCCGTCAACGACAGCCAAGGCACTCAAGGATTTCGCGCTACACCTGACCAACAAGAGGTCCTTCTTCAGCTCCTACCTCCGACCTGACATAGACTCAGTTTCCCATCACGAGACGCACAACCCCCACAGCCTTTTCTTTACTATCTGCACCGTGATTGCGGCCAGGCGGGACCAGATCGAGATCGTTCGCGACGTGCCGAGTCTTCTGGCACGGTACCGCGACCACATCTACGCCGACGACAGGTGGGATCGTCGCGTGCCCGACGCGGCGGCGGCAGCGCACGCTAAGATGGGGCTCGACCAAGAGAAGGGCGGCGTGGTGGTGGTCCGGCCCGACGGGTACGTGGGCGTGGTGGTGGGACTGGCCGACGGTAGCGGGACGGTGGATGCGCTGAATGAGTATTTCGGCTCTTTCTGCTCCAAGAAATTGGGCGAGACGCTGGCCCAGTTATGAGGATCCTGCATACGCAGCCGGAATGCGAAGGCGTCCATAAGGTGCTTGGTGCTTGGCCCGCTCGACCGAGCCCTGCGGTGAAACCTGGATATCGGCTTGAGCCGGTCGGTGGGTTGGTGTGTGGTTTTCCTGGTACTGTTTCTCGCGAGCGCGCCATGGTTGTCTTCTTGTCGATAGATATGCGCTGCAAATACCCTTCACATAGCATACCCTACACATAGCCTTGAGACGGAGATGGGAGCATGCCTACCTTGCGGCTGGGCATCCATTCGTCTTGCATCTCTCGGGACATAGGTAGATGAGGATGGGGCGTGGACGAGGGGGGAGTGAGACACGTATAGACTGGTTGACGCCCACGGGACGAGATGCGATTATAGCTTAGAGCACTGTCTCCTTCGGTACCTACTTCGCTCAGTCTGAACTCGAGAAATACCTGCCTGCCTTTAATCAACGAGCTTCTAATAGTATATCATAAGTACCTCCTAACCCACCTAGGCGCCCCAGATACCTCCTCCTTGAATCAGGCGCTCGCAGTGGGTATATACCCCAGGTACCTATCTAGGTAGGCTAGGTACCTAACCTAAGCTACCGCCTATTCACCAACGAGGCCAGGCAAGGGATTATATAAGCTCCCATCGTCGCGTCCACCTCTACCGACCTGACGCGAACCTCTTTGGTATTTCCACCTCTCTGATCTCTCGAAAGAAGAGTCTGAAGTTTCACTGTAGGTAATATCTCGCTTGCGAAGATCTCAACATTGCCGGCGGTGTGCTCTATCGACTTATCGAGTTCGACCACGAATATAACGACGACCCGGGGGCAACCTTTCGACGGTGGAAACGGGACCACCTCCACAGCTACGTCGGCCTAACTTGGCTCCCCAGTCTAACTAGAGAATCGAGGCTAACATAACCGTATAGGCTGGCCCTGCGTCTCCTCTTGCCCAGCACGTGGGCTTTAGCAACTCTTCCTCTGCTGTTCCCGCCAAAAAGATCTCACGGTGGCTATCGAAGCACCCGATCAGATATTCCTTCGCGTTATCGGACCCCTCCCCAGTCGTTCGACGGTGGCCCAATATTAACCCCTAGCCGCATGCTAGAGTACTGGGATCCGGTGCTACGCCGGACTCGCCCGCGGAGCGGTCCTCTCCCGGATAGGCTCTGCGAGAGCCAGCGGAACCCCGGATACCTTGCTCAGAATAGATTAGCAGATAAGCGAAGGGGTTTTGTTGTGGCCTCGGACCACGGAAGCAAGGAGCCGCCATTAGGTACGACAGACCAGTTCCGAGCCGTTTTTAGCCGCCCCAAACGACATCGGTGCTCATAGATGAAATGCTACCTGGCCATTATGCGGCCCCTTTACGCCCTAACTGAGCTTCGACGGAAGACTAGGCTATTGATGGGTCCCTCGCAATGCGAGTGTTGCTTTTACAGGATCTAATGCTGACGCCCCAACCCAAACTCGCCGGCGTGTGCTAAGCAAGAGACAAGGAATATCTTCAACTTAGACATGACATATTCATACCATATTGATACCATACGTCTATCTACAGGTTACATTACCTCAACTCCGCTGGGCTGTAATGGTTCTTCGAATATTCTGGCAAACCATGGCTTTATAACGCAAACTATACCTGCCCACCAATCGAGATACCGAATGTAGCTTGGCGAGCCAGTCCTTCAGGAGGGTCAAATCCATTGTTTCGACATCTTCGGAAACGCCCCCAAGGCGGAGAGGCGAGCGGCGCCGTAGATATTCATTACTTCTATGAATGTCTGGTTTGCCGTTCTGAGGGAGCACTCGAACTACGTACTCTGATTTCAAACCGCCATGTTACCGCGATTAGGCTTCCTTAAGCCGCATGGCCAGATGCTCAGTAATGGCATAGAGTCAGATAACATGATATACTGATGAGAGCCCCACCCCCTTCAGTCAAGGCATCCCCCATTAGATGAGGGAAGAATGAAGGATGTTCTGGACTAGTTTTTGATGCCTGCGGGGCAAAGTAACAAGCATTTTTGTTGCCTAGGTTATGGCCAGTGCAAAGCTCGGTGGCTGTCGTCTTTATGATGTGTTTCAGGAAGTAATAACTAAAAGGCCCCAGAGACTCTGGATACCAATGAAAAGTCAAACTAGTATCAATGAGTTGACGATAGAAACTCGACGAGCAATACCCTAGGAACTCGATTGAGAGAGAGAGGTACAGATAGAAATAAATACTGGGACGCAATTCTGTTTGCAGTCTTGAGAAAAAACTCATATCATGGCATCCTCTCAGCCAACCTCTCCTCCATACCATCTCAATTTGACACTCAACTCAACCTTCATCCTGCTTACTGGTACGGCAATCTCAGACTCCACGGCAGGAATACTAGGTCTCCAGGTAAAGCTGCTCTTCTGACACGTCTCTCGCCGAATCCGGGACTTGATAGGGAGACCCCGAATACGCATACAAGGATTCAGACAACTGGTCGCTCCATGGTAAGCATCTGGTCCCATGCCCCGTCCTCTTCTCCATCACCCGCATCTCCTGAGCCTGACGGTCTGTTCAATTGGGCATCTTGATCAACAGTGGTTGATTGTAAAGTCAGCAGAAGAGCCTCTAGTCGACCTTGAAATCCACATGGTAGCAACCGAGATCCCACACGTCTCCGTCTACTTCCAGTGGATTCCTTGACCAACCCTTCGTTGGGCCCTCCACCACTGGGAGACCCTCGACACTGCCTGAGAGAGAGAGAGAGAGACTGTCTCCTCTTAGCCGTGAAACCACTGGCATATTCGCTATTCACCTATAAGTTAGCTCTCGCACGGATCTCACAGTTAATCCGCAACGCAAGGCAACTATCGAGGTAACTTTGGTGAGCTGAGAACAACTATTTAGGGGCGTTTCTCATACTTTGCCGCCAAAAACGGCTACATGAGAAGCGTCAATCTCACTAACCAAATAGATAGGCGAGTGGAAACAACATTGGGCCCAAGCCCAGCACCCACGATGAACGACAACAGGAACCTAACAACTGCCCAGAGGGGCCTGAACTCTCCAGATCCGACGACTGAGGATCCCACAGAGAATATTATGGCCGGTTCCCGGGCGTCCATGGGTGTTCCGACGCCTGTCGGAGGCGAGCACTCACCTGCTCGCCCCCAGCCGCATCCACAGCCCTATTTGCAGCCGGTCTTACGACCATACCGAGAGTCTCGCTTTCAGGAGGAGGTCCCCGAAGACGCCCCCCAGCAGGGTAGCCACCGTAGAAGCCTTAACACTGCCCCGTCACAAGCTGATCATCGCCGTGGCTCCCCGTTTCATCCGGGAAGACTTCCTATGCCCAAGCGAAGGTACGCGTTTCCGCTGGAATGATCGGGAGCAGTGCCTATCCCTAATCACAGAGAATGGTGTGCTGAACCACAATAGTCGTGATACGATGATGGTAGATATCGTCGAGGACACTATCCAGACAGCCCTTGAAGTTTCGGCGTCTACTTCTTATCAGCTGTCACCGCTAAAACCAGCCGTCCCGGCCGCGGAACGGGGGAGAGAGGTACCGGCCACCACCGCTCAATCTTGAAGACGCCCACGGCTATGCTTCAGTTGGTGGATATACAGACGTCCAACCTATTCACTATCCTATATCTTCTCAGCGGGTGAGCACGGTACGGCCTCTCGAGGGCCCTTCGTCTTCAATCTACCCAGACAGTGCCCGCTACCAGGCCCAGTCTTATAGCCCTCTTAGCGTCGCTAGTCCTCACGCAGACGTCGAAGGATCCGAAACAGAACAGGGCGATATCATTATCTGCTACGAGGGCTGGCGTGAGAAGAAGGCGGGTGGCGAGGAACCAACGCGCCCTGCCGAAGGCCATCCTCACTCGGAGAACAATCACTTCCCTCGTCCAAATGAAACCGCCCCGGCCGGAGAGCTTTCTCTCTCACATCTTCGCCCTACCCTACCGAAATCCACAACTCAGGGCGATATCCCCACGGAAAGTGACGCACTGCCGTTGACGCCGCTCACACCGCTCGTCATGAATGGCAAGACCAGGATTGCTCGGAAGACCTTGATCGGAGATGGCGGTTGGCTCGAGGACACCACAGTGCAGCCGCCGCCGCCTCCGCCTCCGCCGCCTCCGCCTCCGCAGCAGCAGCATAAGGGTGTGAGCTTCTTCAGCAACTTCAAAAAGAAAGCTCGAAAACTGGTAAGCATCCATCGTTCTGCTCTCGTTTCTCTTGTTCTTAGTGGCTGTGATAGCTAATTCCTTCTATCTCAGGCGGAGAGGGCCGAGTTCAAGGCCACGCAGCCCCGAACACCCACCGCACAAGAGCTGAGCATCTCGCTCGACCCGCGCGAACAGAGTCACCTCTACTGCGAGCTTGAGTATAACCTGAGCGACATGATCTGCGTGTACGTCAACACACAGCTGCAGACGGGACGTTTGAACCCCCATATACACGCCAAGATCTCAGACACATGGCTGCAGAAGGGCCGCCCGAATGTGATAGGGTTCCGATACGACCTCGAGACCCAGGTGGTGCTAATCTTAGAGCACGTCGGGCTTTTTAAGTTCATGGGCCCGCTGCGTGCGAACCATGAGCGCATCCGTGGCCTGCTATACAGCATCAAGGCGGACGCGGGCGAGATGCGCTTGCACACCCTCTGCCAGCCTGACCCTATCATCTCGAAGCACTTGGTCAATGCGCGCGCCCTGGCCCAGCTTCTGGGCTCTCCTGAACATCTGCAAAACGCACTCGCTACGGCCTGGGACTTCTTCCAGACGATCGTCGAGCGCGCGCGACAGGCTCGCCTCAAGGCGGAGGCGGAGGCGGAGGCGGGAGACACCCCGAATTCTCTCGCCGGGAGGGACGCAACCCCTTCTGCCGCTCCTCTCCCGTCACCCCCGCAGGAACGCCCTATAGACGTGCAAGACCACCGCATTGCCAATAGACTTGAAAAGAGCGGCATCGACGGCGAATACACTAGCTCTCCTGGCCGTATTTCTGTGGATTACTACGGCGACAAGCACAGGAACAAGGACAAGGACCGCGATGGCAACGGCCACGCCCACAATACCTTCTACAAGGACAAGCAGGGCGAAAATGCCAACGAGCCCGGCCATCACGCCGGCGGCAGCACACAGGGCGGGGGGGGCGGCAAGAAAAGCAGCATTCCGCCGGCGATCCCCGAGCCGCGGGAGACGTTCCCGGGCACGGAGAGGGTCCCTAACCAGATCCACGTGCCGCCCGCGCAGCGCAAGTTCAGCGGCCCGATCCTCGAGGCCAAGGTCTACGACCCGAACGCGCCCCAGCGGTCGCGGCCCGTCGAGCAGCCCCCGACCCGGCGGCCGCGTCCGCGGGAGAGCCA